ATATTAAAAAATAAAAAAATAGAAAAAATTTCTAGGTCTTCAAATACACCAATTTACAAGTACCTCATCCTGCATCCTTTCTAATGGTCAACAGGATGAATGTTCTTTGGCTGAAAAACTAAGCTGAATAGAAATCTGTGGGAAAATAGCCCCTTCTTCCTTGATTCATGCTCTGTACATGGTCTCCGTTGCTAGATTAAATCTCACTGAATACAGCATGGTGTTCAGGTTGTAAATCATGATTCCCATTATAGTCAAAAATGAGCTGGGTATGGTTTAGGGCTGGCCTGCAGTCAGTTGTCAAGTATCTATTGTCTGACCATTCAGTGTCTTACAGTTTGTCAGTGAGATCCGTGTGCTTGTAACATCTTGTTTTAAAAGATGCTCGACTTAAGGTTTCAAATTGGAAGTCCTCAAACAAATAAGTGTCATCATGGAGGCCACATCCATCTTTTATATCCAGGTGTGGTCTCAGGTTTACATACACTCATCAGGGGCATTAATGTAGTGGTAATTTGGGGCTTTTAATGATTTCATTTAACTCTTTTCTTTTCAGGGTGGAATGATTTTACAGCTTGCATCTTTAATGACTTCATAAAACAAGAATTGGGCACAAAAGTTTGAAGCCATCAGCAAGCTTCTGGCACAATCCTGGCACAGTTAAACACATTTTTTTGGTAGATTGGTAGATTTAACGCTATGGTTTCTTGGCATGCTTACAGCTTTGGGAAGGCCATTCTAGAGGCTTAATGTTAACCTTCTTTATCCATTCCAAACCCAGTTTTGATGTGTATTTGGGACCATTAATCTGTTGAAACACTTAACTGTATCCAAGTTTCAAACATTTTGCTGATTTCAGGTAAAGTAAAAAGAGAAAAAAGAAAATTGGAGGCAGTCCAGCATCATTATTCCATCCACGTTGTGCAATGTACCTGTACCATTGACAGCAAAACAGCCCCAGAGTATGATGCTACCATCACCATGCTGGACAGTTGGTATAGTGTTTATAGATTTGAAAGACCTACCTTTACTCCCCCAAACATACGTTTTGTCATTGTGGCCAAATATCTCAGTCTTTGTCTCATCTGACCAAAAAACTTTTCTCCAGAACAAATTCAGCTTGTCCACGTGGAATGCTGAAAATTTCAGTCGAGCTTGAAGGTGTTGGAGCTGCACTTCTTCATCAGCACCCTTTCAGTCCACGGTGATGTGAAACCCAATTCACTGTGCACAGTGATGCTGGCATTCCAGCACTTTCCAGTCCATGGCAGTCTTGAGAATTGGTGGTTACTTGGTTGTTCTTTCACATCCTAACCAATTTCCACTCATCTGACGGTGACAGTTCATTCCATAGTGGTGACACATATGAATAACTTGTACCTATGTACAGTTGTTTGAACTGATGATCTTGGAATCTACAGTTGTTTAAAAATGGCTCTAAGAGACCTTCCAAACTTGAAAAATTGTAAATCTAGAGTCTTAGATCTTTAGATCTTCACTAAGTTATTTTTCAAGGAATCGGAAGCTGTGATCTTTTTTTTTTTTTGTGGACTGCAACAGGTTACACTCGAGTATAGGTGCTAATGGCATCGACCATAACAGGGGCTTAGAACACTTTATGCTGGTCTTTCTTTCAATTTATCATTCAGCAGAGAGTTATTGCACGTTATGTAAGAAGTGCTGGTAATGGAGATGAGCAGATGTTCCAAGAACCTATTCAAGTTCTCCTTTTATTCACTGTTTTTTTTCCCTATTCTTTGACTTTGATGGAAGACCAGGCTCTGTTCCAAGTATGTCCATATTTACCAGCTAATTAAGTGGAGAAACGTGACATTCTGAATCACATCTCCATGGTAACAATTTGCGGTGGTAAAAAGTTTAATCATGAACTCAGTCAGCACATGCATGATCACACACACACACACAGACACACACACACACACACACACACAC